ACTCATAATTATGTTCCTGTTCCATATAAAGGCGGCGTTTGCCTTTTACACTTTCAGAATGCTTATGATCACGATGGGCAACTGCTGGCGCTGAATTTAAAGGCGATTCGTTGGCGGCCACACGGATAACTATAGTCTTCTTGCCCGAGTTTAGTAATCTCATTATTTGAGATTTAAAATATTTCGATGATATATCGATTTCAGGCCGATCTTGTTCTACGATTATCAAACGCATAGACTCTGCCGAAGAAGCTACCTTCTCAAGGTGTGGTACTTCGGCCAAAATACGCGAGAAAAAAGCATCGTACGTTAAAGATAATAGGTCTTCGTTTCCCATGAATATGGGGGTTATTCGATTGTTACAATAATATTCGTATACAACTTGAATTTCTACGAGATTATCCATATCTTTCGCACTAAATTCATTTGAATATACCGATCCAAATTGTATCACATTCTCCCATAGCAACAAGTAATTTGCCACTTGACAACGCGCGCGTTTATCAGTTGCAACGACCACATGTTCGTGACGTCATTAAACACTCAACCTGAATCCGCAGTACCTTAAGTTCATCACCTTCCACCTTGCAGATATTAGGGTGGTCTACAAAGTTAATAATTATTATGTCTTATTAGGTTATTGTGATTTGTTTAGCCAATTATATGTGTGATTAAATAGAAATGGCTATCCAATAATTGTGCAATAGAACAAAAATGTCATTCTGACTTTGTAATAAACACTGCTGGATTTTTATTAAAGAAATGTTAATTCATCCAATGTGATGTAAAAATATTTTCATGTACTAAATGATAGGATTTTCTATTTATAATTGTGACTCAGATTTGCCTTATGTTTATGCTGTGTGATATTGGGAATAAGCAGGTGATTATTTAATAGAAAAAAGGAAAAGGAAAAAACACAGAAAACAGTACAGTATGCCCAAATTTCAAAATATTGCTACTACAGGTAGTTGACTACTAATACCTATAATTATTGAGGGTGGGTATCACACCACACATCACACAGGGTATATAAAAGGTATACACCAGTAAATTATACAAGTTATACACAAAAATAATATAATTTGTGACAATATGATGCATGATGTATTGTACGTTACATGCCACTTCAAAACCAATATTTAAGAAAATAAAATTAAAGTACAGTATTTATATCTACGAACATCAGTAGGTTAATTAATACAGTACTTGAATAAATGAAAAAAACATGATGTTATACCATCTGCATAGAATATACAACAGCTGTTACTAATACCATAGGCAGCCCAGACCAGTGTTTCCACATCCAAATTTAAAAAATCCTTCTTTTGATCCCTAAAATTCCTTTTTTTCTGCAGAAATTCCTTGCAGGCACAGATAAAAATTATTGCGCATTTTTCGCTTTTTTACTACACTTTTTACGAATCGGAATCATCCATATTTATGACATGATTAAAATTTAAAATCGTTTGTACTTACAGTGTCAGTGAAGTGGGCAGCAAAAGTGAGTGGACTTTGACCGACCCCCCAACACACTGAACTATATTGAACTATATGCACAATTTGCACACGGGAAAACACGGGAATAATCAGTAAGACCAAGTTAGAGTTACGTGTATTGTGCGTATTAGGATTGTGATTCGTGTTTTTGTTCCGAAAGCCTCTCATATTTACAAAAGCCGGTTTATGTTACTTTACTTTTTTACTATTTTACAAGATATTATGAGTATCCTTGCAATATCCCTAGAGAAGATAATTTTTCCTTGCAAATTCCTTGTGTTTTTCAATTCCTTGCATTTTTCCTTACAAAGGGCTAAAATTCCTTTTGCATGGAAAAATCCATGCAAGTGGAAACGCTGGCCCAGACTTTGACTTGCGCGTGTGATACTCGCGCGCGTGTCGCGCTTACGTTGTTTACTTTGTCTATATATTATGACAAGGTAGGAAAGAGTTTATCAAAATATGACAGATATACCTTCGTAAATGTATAATTATCTAAAAAATTACTTGAAGAAACGCCACAAAAACTACAACCTAATAATCACCGATGATTAAACTACATTATCCTGCAGTTTCCATGTTTTTAAACAACATTTAAAGCCTTCAAATTAGCGAAATAAAACAGGAATTCATACGGGATTTTTAGAAAACTATCCGAGGGTCACTCCGCCTAAGGAAACGTCATCTTTTTTGAGATATTAACTAAACGCTCATTGGCTTACCTGCAGGACCACCAATGAGAACCAATGAGCGTTTAGTTAATATCTCAAAAAAGATGACGTTTCCTTAGGCGGAGTGACCCTCGGATAGTTTTCTAAAAATCCCGTATGAATTCCTGTTTTATTTCGCTAATTTGAAGGTTTTAAATGTTGTTTAAAAACATGGAAACTGCAGGATAATGTAGTTTAATCATGGGTAATTATTAGGTTGTAGTTTTTGTGGTGTTTTTTCAAGTAATTTTTTAGATAATTATACATTTACGAAGGTATATCTGTCATATTTTGATAAACTCTTTCCTACCTTGTCATAATATATAGACGAAGTAAACAACGTAAGCGCGACACGCGCGCGAGTATCACACGCGCAAGTCGAAGTCTGGGCTGCCTATGGTAATACTGTGTCATGTGTAACTCATAATATGCATTTCTCTTTTTAAGTTTTAAGTTTTGCCAGAGTGGCAAACACACAGTAACCTGGACAACCTAATAAATTTCTGCAATGTGTCCCACTGCTGGACACTTAAGAACTGATGTGGTTGCAATTGGAAGTACAGTCTATACTTAAGTTAGTATGTCATGTGATCTATTATGTATGGATCATGGATAATATAATTAAGGGCAATATTCAGTTAATAACTTGCAGTCTTATGGGGAAGTTATGGCCAGTGTACTTGTCGCATAATCTATCTAATATTGTAATGTCATTATGTCTGTAATTTATTGGTTAATCTAATTAAATTAAAGTTTGAGAAAATGTAAATATATACTAGTTATAAACTTCAATTAGCCTTATTGTAAAGTGCTCATTTACTGCTTGTGAAAAAATCTCAAAAACATCAAATGCATACAACAAAAACATAATTAATCGGTCATGAGCAATAACAGTTTATTTGGAAACACGATTTTGCTGTTTTCAATGATATGTTCAGAGCTACTACAGTACAGTAGCTAGTTAAGCTATTATGGTATCAGTTATTACTGTCATTTTAGGGCTAATATATTACAGTTAGCCACTGTAGGTCTGATTTAATAGGTATTGGTGATTGATCAAGGACACTCACACTGGTTTTGATATATATTAATATTGACAATTGTTTAAGAGAAGATTTTTTACAAACTCGCGTATTGAGCGCTCAAAACCAATCAGATTGCTGGAGCCTGGAGTCTGGAAGTTGATAGAAGCAATTCCATGTAAACATGGCGGCCGGATTTCAAATAGTATAAGTGTTTCAGTGCCGTTTTCACAACCATAACTCTCTGAAAGTTATGCAAATTAACAGAAAATAAAAAGCATGTGATCATCTAAAGATATGAAACTCCTAGACAAAATGGATTCACTGTTTGCCAAATAATTAAGGACAGTGGAATGTTATACAAGAGTTCGCTATGATTGCAGTTTATAGAAGTTAGGATTGTATGATTATCATTTTACTGTTTTTTTAGCTAGGTAACCGCCGGTGATCACAATGAATAAAATATAATGTAATCCTTTGACATATCAGTGTTAAGAACTTTTAGTGCCTAATCTTATTAATATACCATCTTATTTTACAAACAATTCAATATTGGAATTGCCATTGGAAAAATGTATTACAATCAGCACTTTTGACCGTATATCTTAAATATTAGACGAAAATACTGTATTGTACGTGATTTTTTTTTACAATAGATGTATTTTATGTAAAAGCATGCATTAGTTTTAAAAATTCAAACATTAGATGTACCTAAATAATTGCTGAGGTTTTGCTTGATTTGACATGAACTTAAAACATTAGTCTATTGCTAAAACCTATGTTCAACACTGGTAAATCACCCCAAAACTGTTTCCGATCAAACTAATTCATATTTTGCAATACACCCTGGGTATTGTAGTTTACAAAAAGTATATATTTTTGATTAAATTTGGGTGGTAGGTCCATGGTCGTTTTTTGACATTTTCAAAATCAAGCAATTTTCCAATTATCACAGCACATATTTACCTGACATCTCAGAATAGCTATCTACTTCTTGAGTAGAATTTGAATAGAGATACTTTGAGCCATATAGACACCTTCCTTAGTTTATATTACAAAATTCATAGCAATTAATTTACTGAATAAGCAATTTTCATCTAAAAAATCCATAGGTTTTTATTTAGGTCCTTTTTGTCAAAAAGGGACTTTATGCGAACCTTAAGTTTAGCCATTAAAATTCAGTGCAGAATTGTTTCTGATCAAACTAATTTATATTTTATGATAAGCCCCAGTTATTGTAGTGTGCAAAAATTACAATTTTGTTCAAATTTGGGTGGTAGGTCCGTGGTCGTTTTTTGAAATTTTTAAAATCAACCATATGTCGTATATTTACTTTAGGCATTAGTATACCAAATGAAGTGGCACCTGTATTAACAATATTATTGATGTAATTGAAATACCTAGGCAATTATATTTAAAAGGGGTTGCTGTGAAAACAACAATAATTAACTTTACCATTGGCGTTCGCCATTTGACGTTTGAACACAAAGCTTAAAATCCCTATTGTTACCTGCGCACAAACTGCAAATCACTCCAAATAAAAAGTATGAAAGTTGACCAAAAAAAAACATGTCACGTCGGCACGTGCAGCTGTCATCTAAATTAAGGGTCACTTTAGTAAAAAAAAAAAAAAATATATATATATATATATATCTTTAGAGTATACTGCATACATCTTTACAGTATGTATTTAAAATTAATATTCAGTCAAGGGACTTGATTAAAGGGCTTGACTTGATATTATTTTCATGGATAGAAATTTGCAGTAATGCCACGTACTGAACGAGCAAAGAGAGATGCGGATAAAAAGAATAAGAAAACCGCTAATGCGACTGGTCAAACCAAAATCGCATCATTTTTTAAGTCTCAAGAAATTAGCGGTCAAACATCAACGCACGATGATGAAACAGCCGAGAGAGAAGTTTCCGTTCCAACGGTTAGCGGTGATGCTTGTGACTCGGGTCCCGAAAGATCAACGGTGATTGCTGATCCATGGATCAAAATTATGAGCGAGTTCAACGATGGCGAAAAGCTTCGAAGCAAAACGAAAGGAAGATTTTTCCAGTCCGAATGGCTCAGAAAATACGAATGGCTTTCATATCACCGTGAGAAGCAAGCAGCATTCTGTGAAACGTGCACAGAATACCGGCAGGCGCACGATAATTCGCCATTCATCTTCACTGAATCTGCCGTTGGTTTCTGTAATTGGAAGAAAGGTGTAGAACGACTAACAGATCACGAACAAAGCGAGAATCACAAGAATGCCACGAAACAGAAAAGAAGTAGCCAACCTACACTTGATATTCAGATAGATAGCCAAATAAAGGAGCAACAACGTCTGAGGCGACAAGGCCTTGTAGCCCACTTGAACACATTGAAAACGCTTCTTAGACAAGGTGTAGCAATTCGAGGTCATACAGACGAAGACTCGAATATCATTCAATTTAACAAAGACAAAGCCATCGACCATGAAGGATTAAATCTTCTTTTAAAGGAAAATCAGTACATGTCTCACGATATTTTAGTTGAACAGGAAGAAACTTTGGTGCTGAGGGCGAGAAGAAGTCTAATAGATGACATTAATGCCAGTAAATTTTATGCGATCATTTGCGATGAATCAAGTGACATTTCGAAAAATGAACAGTCTTTTTCTGTTCGTCATTGCACTGAAGACTACGACGTTTTGGAGGATTTCATTGGCGTAATGCCATGCGACGAGGGATTATCATCCGAAGCCCTTTTAAAGTATCTTCAAGATGTATTGGTCCGATGTAATATGAACACTCAAAAAATGGCTGGTATGGCATTTGATGGAGCTTCTGCAATGAAAAGGTTAGCAGTTCTTTTAAAAGATGAAGTTTGCAAACATGCGCTTTACATTCACTGGTTTGCTCACTGCAACGAGCTAGTCTTCAAAGATGTAACCTCACTTTCAAGAATGGTTGCTGACGCCCAAGATTTCTGCGAAAACATGTATGCCCTTGTTGGTGTTAGCCCGAAGAGAGTTTTACTTTTTCAAAATATCCAGAAGGAAGTGTCGGAGGAGAATACGGATGATGGACGTAGCAACTTGAAGCTGAAAAATCTTTCAAGAACTAGATGGACTACAAGAGGAGCTGCAGCGGATGTCATCCTTAAGAAGAACCATGAGCTCCAAGAAACCTTGGAGACCTTGTCTGCAGATTCGAGTGTTACTCCAGAATGTCGAGAAAAATCGAAAGGGTTGCTGCAAAAGCTCAAGTCTCTTCCCAATACTTTTAATCTCCTTGCGATGAACGAGCTTGCATTCCTTCTGGAGAATAACTCTAAACAGCTTCAAAGGGCAGACCTGACGGCAGAACAAGTATCGACAAGCATTACATCCGCCTAGAAGAACTCCGATCATCCGAAGAGTTCGAACGTCTGTTTGCGAAAGCAGAGAAAATGACTGGATTGGAAGAAGATAATAGCGACGAACAACAGCAAGCGCCAAAAGCGAAGAGAAAGAGAACCATACCAACACACATGACCGATTACGTAGTGCATTCCAGCACTCCAGTTGCACCAGTAACATTAAATGAGAAAGATGAGTTACGACGCCAGTTTTACGAAACATTAGACTCTATCAAAGAAGCCATCAAGACTCGCTTCGACCAGAATGACTTGCAAGTTTTGAAAGAAATTGAAAACTACATTTAGTAACTACGATCCAAAGTAACATGCAACAACTGTGAAAATTGTGAACCACCTGTAAAAAAGACCACTTCTTGGTGTATAAAATATCCTTCCAATACAAACCTTAAGCACAAGGCTCCACAAGCAACACAAGTTATATCTAGTGCTAAAACTATTGAAACACATTGTATCTGTTTGGAATGCTACCACAACAATGAAGATTCAAACGTATTTGTGATGTCTAGGCAAGACCCTAGCACAAATGAGAGACATGTCAAAAGATGTCATCCTCAAAAAACATTGAACAAAATGCAAATTTATAACTTTAAATGCCATGCAAGTGATTTAGAGCAGGCTCGTCAGTTATATTAGAAGAGCCCAAAGAATGCAAAGAAACCCTCAAAAGTATCCATAATTGTTAATACCTGCAGAGTCAAAAAAGGTTTTTCATGTCTTTAATTTAACATTCTATGCAGCTAGGAAAAGATCAACAGAGGCAAAAATTTTTATTACTGAGGGTCTAACACAATACATTTGAAGATTACTCAATCCATGCCTTCAACTTTTTAAAAGGGAGCTACACTATAAATTCATATGGACATCCTATGGTAATATAGTGGTGAGGAAAGATAGTTTAAGACCTGTTTTAGAAATCAATAATGAGAATGATTTAACATTTAAATCTCATAACAGCTAAGTATCAGCTTATACTGTATAATATCATAAATTTATAGATATTTATTATTTATGATGACTTCAAATAATCAATTAAACTTTAATGAGACAGAAGTATCTTCCTCTCTACCAATAATCTAAATAGTATTTATCCTGATTCTTATATACCTGTACAGGCTAACTTCAAGAACTATACTCTTAATGACTTTCGAAATTAATAATATATAATTGTATTTCTTGTAAGTATTTTTCTGTGCTACACTTAAATATTAGAAGTCTGGATGCTAATTTTGATACTCTAAACCAAATGTTGTCCGAAGTAAGTCATGTTTTTTTCAATAATTGGTTAACAGAGATATTTTAAACTCATACTTTTCAATCCTCATATATTACTTCCCACTGTTTTATTATTGTTTAATATGTTAATTTATGCATAGATTTAGCTATATAAAAGTGCAGTTCTGATCCAGGAAGAACAACCAATTGCCTATGCGTCTCGTTCCATGACTGAAGCAGAAATAAGATACGCGCAGATTGAGAAAGAACTTCTCTCTGTTCTATTTGCTCTTGAAAGATTCAATGCGTACACCTATGGCGTGAAAGTCCTTGTTGAAAATGACCATAAACCACTTGAGATCATTTTAAAGAAATCCTTATATGATGCGCCTCTGAGATTGCAAAGGATGTTTTTAAGATTACAGAAATATAACTTCACCTACAAGCATAGACCGGGCAAGGATCTGGTGGTAGCGGACACTCTATCACGGGCACCACTTCCCACTACAGATTCAGAGTTAGAGAAAGAAATATTGTGCTATGTTCACATGGTGATGTCAAATCTTCCGGCAACAGATGACATGATGGCGAGACTCAGGATTGCCACAGAAGAAGATGAATCGTTACAGCAGTTGAAGAAGACTGTTTTGAACGGATGGCCAGATTCGAAACGAGAAACACCAGTCGAAATTAGGGAGTATTGGCATTGTAGAGAGGAGATCTCAGAGATTGATGGGATCCTTTTGAAGAATGAAAAGATCATCATCCCAAATTCCCTCCGACCAGAAATGTTGGAAAAGATTCATGCTGGACACATGGGCACCGAAAAATGCAACAAGCGGGCACGGGATGTTCTGTATTGGCCAGGGATGAATTCGCAGATAGAAGAAATGGTTTTGAAATGTTCGACCTGTCTCGAATATCAACCATCAAACCAGAAAGAGCCCATGATTGTTCAACCAACTCCCACGATTCCATGGGATACTGTCGCCACTGATTTGTTTTACTGGAACAATTCTAACTATCTATTAGTCGTGGACTACTTCTCACGTTATTTTGAGATTGCGAAGTTACCAGATATTAAGAGCAGCACAGTAGTTACTTACATGAAATCTATATTCGCTAGACACGGGATTCCAAGAGAAGTAAAGAGTGATAATGGTCCGCAGTACATATCACAAGAATTTGGAAAGTTTTCGAAAGAGTGGAATTTTCAACATACAAACAACCAGTCCATACCATCCACAAGCTAATGGTCTGGCTGAAAGATCGGTGCAGACTGTCAAAAACTTATTAAACAAAGCAAACAGAGATGGAAAAGATCCTTACGTTAGTATTTTAGAATATCGAAATACACCCATTGATCAGATTGGTTCACCAGCGCAATTACTGATGAGCAGAAGATTAAGATCTGTCGTCCCCACAACGAAGTCTTTGCTACAACCCAAGGTCATTGAAGAAGATCTAGCGAGTTCGAAGTTGATAACTAAGAAAACCCTTCAGAAACTGTATCACGACCAAGGCTCTAAAGAACTTCCTACAATATCACAAGGCGAGCAAGTGCGCATGAGACAAGGAAAAGTATGGAATCCAGCTGTGGTAATTAGTAAAGCACATACACCAAGGTCATATATCGTGCAAAGTCCAGATGGAAGCACTTATAGGAGAAATAGGAAACACATTTTCAAGACGAAAGAAGAAAACTCGCAGTCATTTGGAATTGAAGATTGTGATGACACTAGTCAAAGCAATGATCACACTAGTCAAAGCAATGAAAAGGATGCAGTTGGTACAGAACCAGCAAGTGATGGTAATAATGCAGTATCTCTAGAAGAAACACCAGAGGAACAATTACCGGTAACACTTGATAAACAACTTAGTACATCTCCACTAAAGACTAGAAGTGGAAGAATAATTAGGAAACCAAATAGGTTTAAGGACTATTGGTTATGAACATTGGATAATAGTTAATTGACAATTAATTAAACTTTAAATCAATTAAATTACTTTAGAACAATAGAAAAAAAAACTTATACGCTTTATAGTTTAGTATAGTATACTTTTATTCATTTAAGAAGAGGGATGTTGTATTATTGTTTAATATGTTAATTTATGCATAGATTTAGCTATATAAAAGTGCTGTACTCATGTTAGTATGTTATATTATAATAAATGTTACACGTACAAATGGACAAACATAACACCCACCAGAATAACTCATCACTCTGCAATATTAAAGTGTATATGAAATGTCACCACAGCCTCCAATGTTTTTATGGATTACTGTATTTCATGATTTGATAAATTTTTTAATATATTTTTTAATCCCAAATTTTGAAAGAAAACAAAAAAATTGCATTAAAAGTATCCTCGTTCAGGTAAATTTTGTCAACAGGAAGTTATGCGCATGCTACGTCACAGTATGGATCAAATTACTTGCGCGTTGTTTTTATTTTTATACAAGTGTTTAGGTGGACAGCTGAAGTTAGACAAAGTTTTCGTCAAAGTAATCCGTGTATTCATAATGTCTGAGTCGGACACTAGTTATCATAACATCCACCGACGTACGTTAGCGATTCAGCTGAAAATAGTTCAAGGGATGGAGAAGTAGATATTGGTTCGATAGAACCTTACCAAGATGAACCTTTAGCGTCTGAAAATTATAGCAGCGCCAGCGAGTCTGAAAATCTCTCAGAGAATGACGACCCCGACAGCATCCCAAGGATTGTTTTAGAACGTTGTTTTGAAAGGACAATATCTGTACAAGATTGGTAAGTTTAATATTTTCAATACCGTATCAACAAGATTGGACCACTATGACTTTTAATATCAAAAACAACCTTCCCTTTGCACACTTTACGATCCATGAAAATGTATTTTTTTGATCATGTGCCATTGGCAATGGCCTTTGCACTAACTTTAGGATTATCTATTCCCACCATATATAGGGTGTCCCAAAAAAGTACCCCCTACTGAAATGAAGCTTTTGTTGGGGTTTGAATGCATGATCAATGCAGTAGTGTGTATATAGCATATAGTTATTAGGGCAAGGCATTAAAATAAAGCTTTCTCTTTTAATTCTACTCATTGGTTGGTTTAACATAATAATAAGGCATTCAAACTCTAACAAAGGTTTGATTTCAATAGGGGGTACTTTTTTGGGGACACCCTGTATACCGTATTTTCTTCCAGCTTGTTACAAATTATTTATGTTAATTAAAGACATTTGTCCTTCATCTTTTCCAGGTACCTCTGTGCAGTTGGGTATCGTTTTATAACTCGTTGGTTGTGTGTAACAATGGGATGGGATAACACTCGACCACTGCCAGCATGCATCTATCACAACCTTAGAGAAAGATTTGATGTACAAGGGGCACAGACAGGTTATTTACCTGCAGGAGCAAGGGAATAAACTAAAGGGAAACATGTCTTGTCAAAGACAATGACCTCTAGGATGGCCTTTCATTGGCTGTTTGCATTTCCTACATTTTCTTGTTTGCCTTCTTGCTCCTGAATTCTGCTGTTGAGTCATAGCTGCATGCAACTCCTTTTCCTGAGTTTCTTGTTGAGAGGCTATAAATGCAAATCAAAACTCATTGTGAATTTTATGTGCTTTATACTTTTGTTGTTAATTTCTTGTGGTTAGGTTTTACCTTCAGGGAAAAGTTTCTGGACTTAACTTTTCCTTTGTTGTTGGTACTCTATTGCTTCCTGTCTTGATCGCTTCTCCTTGAATTGACTAGCCAAGGCGGCTGGAATCTTAAG